CTGCATGAGCCGCTCGTCGGACGCTGGGCAGCAGTGGGGGAGGAGCTCCAGACTGCCGGAGCCGATCTGCGATGCAGGGAGGGAGTGATTTCTGCTGCGGGGGGAGGAGGAGGAGCCCTCTCTGGCTGAGTGTCGGAGTCCCATGTAAGTGACACCGGCCGGCCGGCAGCACTGTTAGCCGCGCGTGCTCTGCATGGGGGGGAAGTCCGGACATTTACAAATTCCCCCCGGACTCTATTTTTAGCTTAAAAAGCCGGACATGTCCGGGGGAATCCGGATGAATGGTAACCCTAAATTTCTCCCCTGCAAGCCGGCCCTTGGTTCCCCGTCCAGCCATTCCCATTTCTTCCATCGCCTGGCTGGATTAGAGCTCGAGCGATCGCAGAGCTGGAAAATATCCAGTTGCAAAGACCGTCAATCTTTCCATTTAGTCTACGAAGTGCCAGGCTCCTTGTTCTGCCAGCAGTTTGAGAGAGGCAGCGAGGGGTGCAGGGAGTGGAGCCAGCTGCTGGAAGAGCGTCCCTCGGATCTCAGTGAGAAACAAATCTCAGCCTGAGAGCCAGACACTGCGCTCATAGCCCTGCATTGGGCCACAGAGCACGATCCCAAGAGACAAAAGTCCCCTGCTGGGCACTTGCCCAAACCGGAGTTTGGCACCACTGGCAATCTCGGCTGAGAAAGAGGCCGTGGCTGGAATTGCAGAGAGCTGGAGGCCAGGTGTGCAGCCCCTCACCAGGGTGCTGTGGCGGGCCTGCAATGGGCACTTGGTGCAGACACAACAGGTCAGGCTTCAAGGGCATTGGCAAAGCACGAGTGGGCCGGGCAGGATCAGCGCAAGGTGCTGCGAGTGGGAGTGAGGCATATGGGCAGAGCAGGAGGAGGGAGCAGTCCTGGAACGGAAGTGGAGGAGCTGCAGGTTATGACTGAGGAGCATCCACAGAGCAGTCTGTGAGGAGCCCGGCACTGGGCCTGCCGCTTGGGACAGAGGGCTGCTGGCAGAGCTGTGTGCATGTAGCCCAGAACTGGACTGAGGGAGACCTGTGGGTCAGGATTGAGGGGCATTATGGGAAGAACCTGATCTCAGAACCCTTATCCTAGGCACCACTGCCTCCCACTCTTCTGAGCCGTGAACTCCACAAGAAAAACAGGTGCGTGTCTGCAGCATGCATGCAGCCACTCCTGGAATCCAGCCCCAGAGTTCCCGGCCCACAGAGAAAGCTCCCAAACTAACCACCACGCTGACCCAGCCATGCTGGAGTGTGAGAAGGTCATGCCAGCCTGGGCGAGCCTTGCTTTTAACACAGCCACCAGCTGGAGATTTAAGGGCTTGTTTTACCAACCCCTCCCTCACCTGCTAAGGGGACAGAGTGCATCCCTGCCCCTCCCCGAGCCAGCCCATTGATTTATTCCGGAGAGCCATTGCCAAGGCCTGGCCATGCCCCTCTGCTCTGCCAGCCTGCGCCGTTGAGGAGGGCTGAGGGTGGGGAGAGAGAGCAGGGGAGCTAGATAGAATCATAGAATATCAGGATTGGAAGGGACGTCAGGAGATCATCTAGTCCAACCCCCCACTCAAAGCAGGACCAATCCCCAGACAGATTTTTACCCCAGTGCCCTAAATGGCCCCCTCAAAGATTGAGCTCACAACCCTGGGTTTAGCAAACCAATGCTTATCTCACAGTATATCTAATGTACTTAGCACTCGTGTGTCTACAACTGGGCTTTCTTCCTAGCTGTGCCAAAGATGGTTGCCTGGAGTCATGGTCCCCTGCTGTCTCTGTTTCTCCCCTTTGTAATATGGGGATAATGTTTGAGGGCTGCTGGGGGAGGGGCTTTGGCAGGAATCAAGCTTTGGCTCGAAGGCCCAGTAGCAGGGCTGAGGGGTAGGTCAAAGATCACTCAGTAAACATCCGAAGAAGTGGGTTGTAGCCCACGAAAGCTTATGCTCTAATAAATTTGTTAGTCTCTAAGGTGCCACAAGTACTCCTGTTCTTTTTGAGGATACAGACTAACACGGCTGCTACTCTGAAATCAGTAAACAGAGCACCTCCCAAGAGAAGGCATAGTGGGAGGTTACCAAACAGCACTCTATGGGATGGGGCACAGTGGCATGCACCAAGGGGACTAGCGCCATCCGCACAGCTGGTAAGGGCTAGCAGGGTAAAGCACTGGGCTGGGTGCAGGAGTCAGAGAGTTCAAGGCCCAAAATGACCATGAGCTCATCCCATCTGGCCCCCCCAACATCACAGGCCACCAGCATCTGCACACTGCCCCCACCAACCAGACAGAGACCAACATATCCCAGCCCATAGGTGACCAGATGGCTGCGTCACAGGGACAGAACAAGAGGGACCAAGATGCACTAGTGCCCCAGGCCCCTACAATGCCAAGGAATTGAGTGAGCCAGACCCAGATGATCTCAGCAAGTGACCCACACTCCACCCTGCAGAGCAAGGTGAAAAGCTCCAAGGTCCCTGCCATTCTGACCTGGGGGGAAATTCCTTCCCAAGCCTACACCAGCGATTGGCTAGACCTTGAGCGTGTGAACGAGAACCAGCCAGCCAAGCACCTGGGAGCCCTGGCCCACCCCACCCAACGTCCCCTCTCCAGCCATTGCCATCCCTGCTGCTTCTGAGGAAGTATTTAAAAAAGCCCTTCCACACTGCATGGGGGGTAATTCCCTTCCTGACCCCTGCTGGGGGCCAGCTGAAACCCTGAACCATGAGATCTCCTGTTCCCAGGAGATCTGGGTTCAAACTCTAACCTGTCCAGGGGACTTTGGGCAAGTCCCTTCATCTTTCTGTTCCCATCTGTCAAGGACAGGAACCCCACCCTTTGTCTGTATAGACCATCAGCTGCTTAGGGCACGGGCCGGCTCTTTGCACATATATGTACATCACGTCGCATACTGGGGCTCTAATCTCAGGAGGTGCCGCTGTACCACATGGGATGTGCAGGCTGATCATGGGAGGAGCTCTGGAATATGCAGTGATTTCTCTGGCCAGGGAATGTAGAAGACACCCAACATGATCCATCATGCAGTATACAGAGGCTCCCCACCTGCTTTAAAACAGTAGCCCCCCTGCATTCAGAGGGCAGTGACCCTACCTTTCCACATCCATTCCACCCTTCTCTCAAAAGGGCTCTGGCTAGAAGGCAAAGCAGCACAAGCCGGGCTGTGAAACTGATTCTGTCTGTTTCGCCAACAACAAAATATTCTGGAAGCCTGCGATGGCTGCCACATCCCCAGCCGCTGCCTGAGCCAGAAGCGATGCCTCCTCGCACGGCCCCCAGCCGCAGCAGCTTCTGCAGAGACAGCAGGAGCAGGAATGGGCTGGTCCATACCAGCAGCCACAGGCTGGAAGCTCCAGGACAGGGCGTGGGACTGCATCAGAGGGGCTCTGAAGAGAGCCTGGTTCAGCCTATAACCTCAACTTCAAAGCACCAGCAGCCACATTCACTAGCACCGCAGCCTCCCCCCTCCCCATCTTTTTAATCCCTGCTGGCTCTAGCCTGCCTCAGTTGTGGGGGTGGTACAGGAAGAAGGCCAAGGAGCCAGAGGCAGGCAATTGGCAGCCCTGCCAGTCCCCATGGCACTGACAACGGAGGATATGAGTTCCACACCATAAACTGCTGGCTACAGCTGTAACAGTGAACTTGCATCATTGGCACAGGCTGTGCAGCCACAGCACCACCTGACCACAAGGGGAGCTAGCCGGGGTGTCCTGACAAGATGGGACAGTGCCCCACAGTCTCGTCATTCTCGTGCCTCATGCCCACAAATGGCCCACACAAGGCTTCCCCTGCTTCCCTTAGGAGGCCCCTCCACAGGCTTATAGGTTTCATAAGTAAGCAGATTTCGCACAATTGCTTTCACCCTATTCCTCTTCGTTGTCCGATGTGGGCAGTCATGCCAACTGGTTGGAGTGAGAGTCATACCTAGTGGTTAGCACAGGAGTTGGGAGCCAGGAATAGGAGCCCAGGCTGAGAACTGGAGTCAGATGCCAGAGGCCATGGGTCAGAGCCAAAGTTGGGAATAGGAGCCAAGGGTCAGAGCTGGATGAGGCAAAGCGGGAGCAGGGTTGGGTCCGAGGCAGGAAGAGGGCTGGGAACAAGAACGCCCAGAAATTATCACAGCCGTGGGCGAATGCTTTGAGCAGCCACCAAACGGCTGCTGGGTTTAAGAGCTGGTCTGCTGACTCTTGCCGCCAATCAGGCAGGGTAGCCAATCAAGCAGTCTACTGCAGGCCAGCTGTGCTCGTCAGATTACCCAGAGCTGGCTCTGCTACAGGACCTGACCCTTGACATTAGCTAAGCACCTTTGAGACACCAGCCCACTGGCCACCTCACCCTCCTCATCACTGGGGACATGTAGTCCCCAGCCCAGCTTCAGTGGTCACTTAGCCCAGCTATGTTCCTTGCCCCCCTCAGCTATCAATCTCTGCAGCCCCCTGATCACCTGCAGTGTTCTGGTCGGAACTACCATCTTATCCATCCATGGACACAGCAAGACAGGGCGCATCCCACCAGAGCTATGTAGAGAGGGGTCAATAACTCACCCCCAACTTTTGTCACCCGAATCTTCTAATGCCTGCCCTTGTCCCCACCTCACCCGCTCTGCTAGCACCTGGCATGGGGATCGGCTGTATGGGCAGACCCAGGGGCGATCAGAGGACACTGGAAACCCTGCCTGGCTCACGGTCATTGGCCAAGGAGAAAAACCTTGTGTGTTTAAGAGGGGCTAAGCTGCAAGCTAGGAAGGAGCAGGTTGGTCCAGCTGCCAGAACAGCCAGACCCCCATTGCGGGCACAGCTACTGAGACAGGCTGGCCCACAGAGCCTTGGGCTCAAGGCCTGATGGAAGAAGGGGAGACTGGGGTGGCCTCAAGAGCAGAAAAGGCCCAATTGGGGAAGGTGGATGGGAAGCTGTAGGGGCCTGCTGGATATCGGCAGGGAGCAGCTGCTCTGCAGGATGGAGGAGCCCCACACCTAGCTCAAGCCAAGTCCAAGCGCAACAGATTGTTTAATGCAAAGAGTCACAAAGACATTAAAAACCTGGCATTTGGAGTTACGCAGGAGGAATGGTTACAGGGCTATTTATAGATATGTACAGCTCCCCTGCGCCACCAAGCGGGGTGAGGCGGGACAGCAGCCCAGCTCCAAATGAAGGTCCCTTCTCCACTCACCATGTCCCCTGCATCCTAGCATCAGCCACCTTGTTTGCTTGGGGTCTTTTCGGCTATGCCCAGCCCTGGCATTGGTGAGAGCACAGGCTGCTGCTACCACCACTCCACCTTCCTGCACACACTAGGTGGCAGCACCGAGCCTGTTGCTCCCCACACCCTCTTCCCGAGCCCCTCTCTATGCCCCCCACACCTCTGCCTTACCCGAGGCTGCTCTCCCCGCCTCTGGCCAGGGAAGGAGGTAGGAAAAGGCAGGTGGCTAGAGTGATGCCATGCCCTGGGTGAGTCATCCTCCGTGGGGATTGAACCCGGGACTTCCGGTTTTAAAAGCAGGAGCCTCTGCAGCCTGAGTGGAGACCCCAGATGAGTTGGCCAAAGCTGTAGGAGGCTCAACCACCACTAGAGGGGGACAGAGCACCACACTGAGTGGGCAGGAGTGACTGGTTTGGGACCAGAACCGGCAGCCACATCCAACCCCCGGCACGGAGGCAGAGCATAGAGCCCTGTCTGAGCCAAGCAGTGGGGCCAAGGAACATGCTTCCCTCGGATGGGATTGGACTCTAGTGTCTTGGGGATGATGGAGGAGATCTGTCCTCCCCCCAGACCCCTCACTGAACAGCGTGGAAGCCAAGCGACCCAGGAACCCAGTCGGCACAAGCTTCACCAGGAACTGCAGCGGCTGTTGGGTCCCCGCAAAGGCCTGTGACTGGTGCTGCTGTGTCCTTGAGCAGGTGGGATGAAGCCAGGCTGCCATCTGGAGAAGGAGGGAGGAACAGCTGTTCCAGGCAGCATAGGCCACACCTGGAACATGCCTTCAGTGGATGAGGAAGAGGAACTCGACCATTCCCGGCATCGTCCCTTCGGCACGTTAGCCCCAGCTCCAAGTCTCTGCAGGGCCCCCTAATGTCACACAGGCATTATTGCAGCAGTTCTTCCCAGGAGATAGGTCTGGAGAAGACTTCCCTTTCTAGCCATAGATCGTAGTTCATCTGGAAATCCTCTGGCAGCTCCACCCTCTGGCCCAGCACGCTCTGTAAACAGTTATCCACGGGCAGGAAGTCAGGGTTGCTGTGCGCCCGGTCATAGCGCCGGGAGTTGAAGCGCTCGATGCTGGCTCGCAGGGCGCACTCCTCCGCCTGGAAGTCCCAGGGGCGTGCATCCAGATCTAGGGCAGAAGGGGGAGGACATTAGGCCTATATAGCCTGGGGAAGGTGGTCTCCTGGTCATACCTTGCCTACCCTCTCCCTCCTTGGACAGGCAGCTGCCCCTGCCCACGAGTGTCAAAAGAGGAAAAGTCCCTTTGATTAGGAATCCCACGATCAGGGCTCCTAATGCCCAAGCTTCAGGGCTTGAGCTATCACCAGTGGGAGTCAGGGAGGGCACTGGGCAGTTAGGTGCTTTATGGCTTTTGCCAAGAGACAGGATACTGGGCTAACTGTACCACTGAGCTGCTCCCATATAGCAGTTGGGATGCCACCTCCCCATAATGGGAGGTTGGTACAGCTGCCCTGGGGAGCGAGTTCCTACAGCTGCCAGTTCCTGATAGCTGATGGGTATAAACGGGAGCAGCTCAACCACAGTTGCTAGGTCGACTGCTGCTGCCCACATCTTTAGGGTGGAGATGAAGCCAGCAGTGCTCCATCTTCACCCACCCATGCCATTCTCTCCCAGCATGCAATGCTCCATCTTTGTCCAAGCAGCTGCCCTCATCTGTAATATGGAGGGACAGCCTCCTGGAGACTACAGGTCCCAGCATGCAATGTTTCGCCTCCATCTGGTATGTTAAAGACCTGTTACGTTTTATGCCAATTAGCGACGCCCTTTGGGCTCCTGGCCAGGTGCCAGCCTGACCTGCTATTGGGCAAAGTGAGCAGATGCCCCCTGGGATAAGCACTCCCTTGGGCTCAACCCAACCCCAATGAATCAGGCACGTGAGAGGCCATGGGCAGAGGGTGGGGGTGGTACCATTTCCATAGGCCCAGTCATCGTTGAGCCGGTGCCGCACTTTCTGGTAGATAGCGGACATGGTCTTCATGTTGCTTTTCCTCCACTGCCGCCCCAGGTACTTGGTCTGCACCTTGAGCAGCTTCAGGACATAGAGCTGCATCATGGCTTGCTTCACCTTCAGGGCTCGTTTCAGGATGGGAGCCGACTTGAACACCACCAGCATCTAGGAGGCACACTGGTCACACCGCGCCACGGGGCACACGCAGTGCGTAATGCTGTGCCAGGCACATGTACACCGAGCCCATCCATACCCCTCCCTGGCATCAGGACATGGGCTGGATCGAAGACTCAGCCCACACTCCACACGCGGAGGTTTTTAAGGCCATATAGAGCCTTACGCAGCCCCCCACCCACACAGGTCTCTGCACCTTGTGGTCCCGACATCCAATGGGCCCCTACTCACCATGGTCCTGGAGTGTTTCCACTTTGTCAGCTTGTTCAGTATCCTCAGGAGGTTTATACAGGAGAACAGGTTCCGCCAGCAAAACTGGTTGTTATCCCCAGCTTCCTGCAGAGAGATGAAAGCCGGGTGGGAGGGTGAGCAGCTGGCTTGGGGGTGTGTCGCGCAGGGATGGGCTGCCTGTGGGAGGAGGCTCATGCTATACAGGGCCAACCTGAAGGCCAGGAGTCCCTTCCCACCCAGCCCTCCCCTAGCGCTACCTGGATCCCAGTCACATGTGCGGGGAGCTGATCTCCGGAAAGCCTGGGCTGTCACAGCAAGGCCCAGAGCCCAGCACTGCCCCAGCCCTCTGAGCAGCAGCCGCCTGCTCTGGGTGCTTACAGGCTTGCTCCCACATGCCAGGCCTCCCGGTGCTGCAGAGAGCTCTCCTCATTTCCCCTACAGCCCCTCTGTGCTCTGGCCCCAGCAGGGAAAGGACATGACAGGCAGGAGGGGGGCAGCCTGCAGGGCACTGCAGGGGGCTGAGCTCACCAGACTCTCTGCCGTCAGCTCCGGGAGCTCGTGCACCACGCAGTAAGGGTAATCCAAGACCGAGATGCTGGAAGGAGAAGAGAGGGCCTCAGCCTCTCCTGCTTGCCGATGCACAGCCCCAGCCTTGCGTGGGGAGATCTCTATGGAGTCCCCTGCACCCCCCGGGGCAGCTTCCTGAAGGATCCCATGCTGGGGATAGCTGACAACGTCCATTTACTGAGAACGGGTCCTGGTGCCTGGGCCACAACCGAGAGGGGACGTTGCTGGGGATTCAGTAGCGTGGAAGGGAGTCTGATGGGAGAGATTCGAGAACAGCTCCCTTCCTATGGGCCCCACGGCAGGAGCAGCACTTGGGGAGGGGGAGCAGGTACTGGGTACCCCACTGTGGGTGCAGTGTTGGGGGCCCTCAAGGCACCCCACAACCACTCAGTACGTCACACTGGGCCAGTGACGGGGGGCCCCCACCAGATACCCCATGGCATGGTCAGTGATGGTGAGGGACCCCATCAGGTACCCCACAACCCACTTGGGTAGCTTGCTGCAGGTTTAGTGATGGTAAGGGCACCCCACTGTGCAGCAATCCCACTCCATAGCAGATGCAGGGTCAGCGAAGGGCCTGGTGGTACAGCAAGCCCTGGGCACCCTGTTACCTGTTCTTGGCAGTGATGTAAGACATGATGTTCTGATTGAAGAATTTCAGGATGAGTGGGATGCAGTTGGCAAACACCAGGTGCTGGGCCATGTACTCAAACTAAGAGCAAAGATAAGGGAGGCAGATAAGCAAGCAGACCTGAGCGCCCCCTGGTGCTCCGTGTTCCCCTAGTGAGCTGCATCTGTGTGCGGGGGGGCGGGGGCGGCAGTCCCCCACCCGGGGGTCCCCATCCAGGTTTACCTGATAAACGTGATTCAACTTGAAGTGTTTGAGCAGCAGCAGCAGCACGGCAGAAATGGCCTTGACAATGATCTCTTTGTGCCGGTTCACGTCCACGCCCAGCTTCATGCTCTGCAGCACCGTGGTCCTGGAGGACAAAGCCCCAATCTCAGCCCCCGTCTCAGGGAGGGGGTAACCAGTCCCCAGAAGAGGGGATGGCCAGAGACAGCCAGACCACAATCCTACCAAGGGAGTACAGCCCACCGCCTCTTGCCCCTTCTCTCCCTCTCCACAGCCATCATCCCGCTGTCCCCTGAAGGCCTTTCCTGCAACTCCATACGCTCATGCTACCTTTAATTAACGAATAAGGTTTCCAGGATACACTTCACCCCAAAGATCCCAAGGTGGCCAGTCAACCAACTGATCCCTATGCCTAGTTTGTAGCCACTCCATCCCACCGCTGAAACGCGGCCATCTCTGGGGCGGACGGCAGCAGCGGCTAACAGAACATGGGAATGTTCAGGGGAGGCCAATCCCGTATCGGATTGAAACCACAATTTAGACTGGCACACTAGTTGGAATTAGGCCAGGACGCTGGGCTAACACGCCCTGGAATCTGTACCAAGCTTGACATCTCAGCAGAAAGAGAACACCTCTGCTAGCACAATGCCCCCAGCGCTGCAAGTCCTGACTCAGAGGGAAGGCGCCTGCTACAGTCACCAGCACCGCTACCTGCGCAATCTTGGGTGTGAGCCAAAGATCTCCCCTCCAAGCAAGGGTCAGGCCTAACCCTGCTTAGCGCGAGAGACCTGACAGAATCTAGGGAGTCTAGCTTCAGGCCATTTCCTAGCTCAGAGTTCAGACTTGCTCCCAGCACAGGAAACTGAGTCACCTGCCGCAGTCTGGATGCTGGCGAAGACTCCCCAGCTCCAGCACAACCAGCCAGGCCTTAAAGCGCTGCCATGCAAAGCCAGGAGGGGCCTTCTACCTACCAGAGACCTAGTCACCCCTGTTCTCTCACCCCCCCATTCACCCCGCCGTCGGCTTCTCCAGGCCACCAGAGAAGGGCACTCACGGCATCTCCTCCGGCAAGACGTCCGCGAGGATGTTAATGGAATCCGTCTTGGCTTTGGAGGTGGGGGCTGCGGCCAGCAGGATCTTCAACAAGGCAATCTGTGGAGTGCATCCGAGAGCTGGGTGAGGCTGGGAAGGGCCTCCGAGGGCAGAGAACAGGGCTGTGGGCGCTGACGCCGAGGTTCTTAATGGCCCTCAATTCGGTACGCGGTGGGGAAAGGCGAGAGGATGCCACAAGGTGCGTGTCAATTTGCAAAGAGGGAGCACATACCAAAGGGCAGGGGTGGGCAGAAGTCATGTGACTGGGGACATACTCACAAGCAGGGGCAATCAGGCACTTGTCAGGAGATGGGTCTGAAGCAGCAGAGGGAACAATCAAGCACACGCCAACGGACAGGGAAAGGAGTGATCCAGTATGACTTGGCACATACCAGTGGAAAGAGGCTAAGATCATGGGATCAGGCCCACTCCAATGTAAGTTTGGAGAGGAAAGTCCAGCTGTACTGGTCAAGGCGGGGGAGTGGGAAGGGACGGGGCTCGGCCTAGGATCTGTAGTGTGGCCACAACTCACCATGTACTGGGGCAGGCTGGGATGGAGGCCCTGGTACAGGGTTTCCGTAGGAACTTGCTCCACTTCCTCTTCCCCCTAGTACAAAGATGAGAGAACCGCGCCCTGAGAACGTCTCCAGCCCTCGCAAGGTGGCCGATTTGGATTGGGGTGCAGGGGCCTGCCTGGCTCTGCAGAACCAGACACGAGCACAATGTGGCCTCCCAGGACACGGGCACAGCCCTCCCATCCCCCAAAGGACAGCCTAGCAGTCACACAGCAGGCTGCCACATAGGGATAAGAGCTCATGAGGGGGGAGGAACCTCCCCCCGCAGGTTACCCTTGAGCAAACCTCTCTGGCTAACTGAATGCACACAGTGACAGGCTCCTGCATGCAGTCACCTCCTCAGGGGATACAGGATTGGCAGGGTCCCCGAGGACAGACACCTACCCAAAGAAACCCCAATCAGCAGTTCTGCAGGCCCCACAGCCTCCTCCTCGCACTCCCCAAAGAGTCACTTTACGGATCTGCCTCCCTGCAATGTGTGGACTCCCCAGAGAGGGGCGCGCCCCTGTGGCACTCACCCCAGAGAGCGGGGAGCGCAGGTACTCCTCTTCCATCTGAACCTGAACCTCCGCGATCGACGTGTACTTGTGCTGCGCAGAGACAGAGCAGGGGAGGTTAATGCCACCGGCCAGTGGCACAGGGAGATTCCCCCAGTCCCTTCGCTGACGGTGCACACCCCACCAGCTGCAGCCCACCCAGCGGGGAAGCCACAGACGGGCTTGTGAAGGCAGGTGCCTGTAACATTTTATGACCATTACACGTTCTGTCCACCTGACCGTTATGTAGTTTGCTACCTGCTCACAAAGGATTAATTCCAACAGGAAAGCGAATGGACCTTTCTGGTAACCCTCCATTGACGACCAGAGAGTGGCCCGGAGTCTGGATGGTCGTCACACCACGGGAAGGGGCTGACCTGGTTCGGGAGACCCAGGGTAGACAGGGAACTTTGCAGGGGAGAAGAGGGCAGCCCTGCGAGAACAGGAGAGAGGGCAGGCTGGAGGCCTGGCACCTGGACAAGGTGGACAGTCGGCCCTCAACTGGTGGGAGGGGTTAGAGGCATCCGCACATACAGGCAGTGTTGAGGGGAGCCCGTGAGGGTGGCACTCACCAGTTTCAGGGTTCGGATGCTCTCGTGGATGGGTCTGGGCAGCCCCACCACCGTGTTAGTGTCACTAGAGAGAGGAAAAAGCCAGACTGACACAGAGGCTGAAAACGTCCCCTCCTCCTGGTCAGAAAGGAGAGGATCCATTTCTCCTACAGGGCAGAGAGCAGCCACTGAGCCAGGCGGGAGTTTGCCCATCTGCTGTAGCCTTGCCAGCACGTCAGCATGTGAGGCTGAAATGGGATGACCCACAAACTGGCTCTGCCCAGGCCCCAGAGCTCTGCTTTAACTCACCTCCCCAGCGTGTAACCGATGAACTTGCTGCGGCTGGATTCCAGGAACATCTCGATGTCCTTCTCTCTGCAGGAAGGAGGAGATCACTTACCATGCAGTCAGGCCCACACCTTCCACCACTGCCGTGCTGGAGAGTGCCCGCGTAATTACAACCAGGAAGAACAAATCAGCCCAACAGAGCTCTCCTGGATCAAGTGAGATTCAGAGAGAGCAGAGCTTCCGCCTCCACTTCAAAGTCCCACCCCAGGAGGGTCCCCACCCTCTAGGTGAGTTCCAGTGTGGAACACGATAACCCATCATTGCTCCAAGACAATGCCACCACCCTGGAGGCTCGTAACAATGGGGTGGTTGATCTCGACAGCCCCACTGCTGGACAGTTCCTAGAGGGTCCTGTCTTTATCCTGAAGGATACTGGTCTCCATCGGGGGAGCGGAAACCTGTCTCACACTTTAACCATCGCCACTCAGCATTCATTAGACAAGCCGATGGCAAAACGCTGCCAGGGGCCTGGCACGAGGTCATTCCTAGTGGTCCTGAGGAGACAACTCACCTGACCTTGGGAGCCCAGGGCAGCCCCTTTGGGCAGGTGAGTCGGTCGGTGGGAGGGTGCTGGATGGGTGGAGGCATCACCTCATCTCGTTCCAGGGGGAACGTCTCCCCCTCGAGGCTGTTGTCATCGTCATTCTCCTCCTCTTCCTCACGGGAGTCGTCAGCTTTGTAAGGGTCCCGCTCATTGAAGGCATCAAGGTTGTCTTGCTTAATCAGAGCCTGGAACCAAGGGAGAAGGCGGCTGAGTGGGGAGGAGGTGAACGTCAGATTGACACGGGGAGACTATCTCTGGGGCGCAAGTCACCCCAAGATCACACTTGACTCCCCAGCATGCCTAGGGCAAGAAGTTGGCTGCTCTGTGTTACCCTTGTTAATTTCACTGTCCCCTTGAGGGCAAGGTGACGTTCCCTCTGCGACCCCCCTGACCTCGCCCAGACTCGGCCTCACCTTGTGTTCCCGCCGGCCCCGTTTCTGCTGCTGTTCGATCAGGTCGGAGGCCGACGCCGGTGGGGACGCAGCCCTCATGTTGCGGATCACTTTGATGCTGTCCTCTGGAAGTGGCGGGAGGCCCAGTATCTCCCGTTTCTCGGCCTTCATGGCTTGAAGCTCTTCAAAGCCTCCCAGAGTGCACTGCAACAGACCCCCCCACACACCCAGAATTGTGACTGAGGCGACCGCATGTACAAGCGCCCGCCGGACACACAGCGTACAGGGTTCACTCACTCGGCAGAGCTCCAAGCACCCCACACCACCTGACAGAAAGTCCACGTGAACAGATCCTCGAGACAAAGAGTTCTGCCCATAAACCTTACGTATGGGGTCTGTTATTTAGGGTCTATCTATGTCAGATGCTGGACTGCTCAGTCTGAAGACAGCTGAAAAGCCAATGGACAGAAAGGCACCGCTGGGGTTCTAGCTACAGGACATCACAGATCTAGCGAAGTGAAGGGCGCACTTTCCTTTGGTCAAGAGGTCATTCAGGAAAGAGGGGTATGGTCTAGAGATGGGAGCACAGAGTTGGTCATCAGAAGCTCTAATCCCACTGCTCACACCATCTCCTCTCTATGACCCTGAGCATCCAAAACTCTTGGTACCTCAGGCCTCCCATCTGTAACGTGGGGATAACACTGGTGACAGGTCTCACCACGGAGTGAGAGGATCTCTATGGAGCGCTCGGACTGTGAAAAGTGCAATGGGATACTGCCCCAGGGTCCTACCATTCTACTTCCTCTGAAGGAATGGAGGATCTGCTACAGGAACCCAGCAGTATTCAGTACAAGGGCAGCTGGGAGTTAAAGGCTCCAGGAAGTCAGCATAACCCTTGTTATTCATACACGGAAGGTGCTTTCAGCTTTGACAGCTGGCAATGTGTTTAGCACCACAGGGAGGGGGAATTTTAATAGAAAATCGACCCTGTCAATAGCTCCCTGTAAACGGATTGTGGAATTTCACCTGTTCCAAGCCACAACCTGCACTGGGGACTATCTACATTACAGACTGACACCCTGGTGATCTCACATACTGTTTGTGTCTAGCCAGTTATCAAACTGTTCCTCATTGCCAGGATGGTACAGGGCCATGTCCCTGACCGTGAGCAGAGCTGTCACACACTTGTTCCAATGGTTAATTACTCTCACTGTTAAAAATGTATGCCTTATTTTCAGTCTGAATTCATCTAGCTTCAATTTCCAGCCATTGGATCCTATTAGACCTTTCTCTGGTAGATCAAAGACCCCATTATTAAATATTTGTTCCCCAGGTTCTTATGGACGGTCAAAGTCACCAATTAACCTTCTCTTTGTTAAGCTAAATAGATTGAGGTCCTTGAGTCTATCGCTAGAAGGCAGGTTTTCTAATCCTTTCATCATTCTTGTGGTTCTTCTCTGCACCTTCAGCAATTTATCCACATCTTGACTGAATTGTGGGCACCAGAACTGGACACGGTATTTCAGCAGCGGTCGCACCAGTGTCAAATACCCAGATCCCAGAGATCACAAAGAGAAGTCAAATAACCTCTCTGCTCCCACTGGAGATTCCTGTTTATGCCCTTTGGGCCATCGCATTGCACCAGTGCTCATGTTTAGCTCATTGTCCATCACAACCGCCAGTCTTTCTCAGGGTCGCTGCTTCCCGAGACAGAATCCCCCATTCTGTCTACGTTCTTTGTTTCTAGAGGAATACAGTTACATTTAGCTGTATTCAAATGCATACTGTTTGCTTACGCCCAGCTGACCAAGTGATCTCGATCGCTCGGAATCAGGTGACCTGTTCTCTTCATTCTTGACCACTCCCCCAATTTTTGTGTCACTTGCAAACTTTATCAGTGATGATTTTCTGTTTCCTTCCAGGTCGTGGCTAAAAGTGTGAAACAGCGAAGGGCCAGAACCGATCCCTGCAGGAGCCCACTGGAAACACACCCACTCCACGATGATCCCCTGTTTACAATTACTCAGCTGCATCTCAGGGCGGGTGTACCGAGTTCAGCAGAGGACAAGACAGCCCCTATCACTTGCTTCCAGCCAAGTCGGCTCCAGATTAGATGCCAAAGAAAGAATTACTTGGATGATGGCTTTAGAAAACTTGTTCCAACTCCCCTGCTCACACCCGGGGATTCTTACCAGCACAGTTTTCCAGAGCAGCAGCAGCACCTTCTTCATAGGGAAGTGTGGGGCGTGGCCGCTGCAGAATTTGGTCACCATTCCGAAGAGCATAACGGAAAATGGCTCGTTGTTATACAGCGGGGCCCCTGGAAGCAAACACACCGATAACAGCCATGCTCACCTGAGGAGCCGCCCACCCTCCCATCACCACCTCCCTTTCAGGGCAGAGCTTCCGCATGTTCCTAACTTCACCATCCCATCCCCTACCTGCTCACCCCTGCCCTCATCCTCTCCTCCCTTCTGAAGTTCAGAATCTACCGTATTTGCTTACAAATAACTCTGATGCTGGGCAAGGATGGCCCCAGAGACCAGACTCCACAGCAGAGATACAGCACAAGCAATGGGAATGCTGGCTTCCTTGGCTCTGCCCCCTCCGGTGTAGCTTAACCCTGCCCCAGAGGAATCCTCCACTAACAGCAAAAGAATCCTGTCTCCATGGCCCATTCAGGCTTTGGCTGATTTGCCAAGACAGACAAGAAGAGCGTTGGGAATGGATTCTGCAGAGTGGGCCCATGTCACCTGGGAATTGGAATGGGACCCAGTAATTCACTTCACACAGGCCACTGAACTGCTGTAAGCGGAGGACTGCTGGTCACTACCAAACGGGCCAGATTCGAACCACTACAGAGATTCCAGGCCCCGGCTCATCACCTTGCAGAGAACACTGCTGTAACCTACCCACCCCACCATTACACACCCGGGACATCCCAGGGGAGGCTCCTACCTAGCTCTGCTCGGAAAGTCTGCCTCATCGTCTTCCACTCAACCTTGTCTCCCTCAGCCTCCTGCCGGACCGTCTCTACGATCAGGTACATGACGTTCAGCAACACCCTGCAAACCGCAGAGAATCAGACAGGACCAATGGATGACCGAGAGGGGAGCAGGTCTCAGAGGCGCCTATGACCTGCTGGCTCCAGCAACACTTAGAAAGGCAGTCATGTTCTGCTCCCATTTGTCCATATCCCGCACGAGGAACAGATCAGACTCAAGGGGACTAGAGCTAGATATTGGAGTTGGGGGTAAGAAACCCTCTGGAGGAGTGTTACCCAACTGGCAGGTCATGGCCTCCGGGGGTGGGGAGGAATCACGAGATGTTGAACCCTCTTCCCCTCCCCACCCAGGGTCCTTCAAGGTCATAGAGTTTACGGCCAGAAGGGTCCCCTAGATGATCAGTCTGACCAACTGTATATTACAGGCCACAGAATATCCCCCAGTCAGCCCCGCACCAAGCCAACAACCAGAATTAGACCAAAGTGTTACAGCCCTCAGAAGACGAAACTATTGTGTACCACAGGCAGAAAGCAGGTCAAGGATTCCCTCTCTGGTAACACACAAACTAACCAATTATCTAGGCTCTGCATCGGCATTATTGATACACTTTTTACTCTTAATAAATAAAAGAGGGTAGTGAAAATTTCTAACTTCAGATAAGGGGTCACCAACCTGAAAAGGCTGAGAGAGTGTGCTCCACTCCTCACCTCTTTGCCCCCCGTCTTTTGACCCAGTAGAAGTAACTCACTGTGTACATGGATTAGGAGACAGTCTGACCCTGCATGGCAAGCCCTACTGGTCCATCAGTCCAGTATCCAGCCTCCAGCAGCAGGCTGTACTTGATCCTGCAGAGATGCTAATGAGCTGAGCACGTCTACAGTGCCTTTCGAGCCCAAAGCTCAACACACTTTAACAAAGGTGGGTGCCATTAGACCCATTTTATAGGTGGGGTAAATGAGGCACAAAGAGACCACAGTGAGTCAACACTCTGGAAATGGCGCCCATTCTCCTGACTCCTAGCCCTCTCTGCTGGACTGAACTGCCTCTCAAAGGAAGGAAACAAATCCCATAACGCACCTGCCAAAGCTCCTTTCTGAACTCCCAGGCCTTCAGCTTAGACCCTGAAGCCTAACATTCAGCAGCATCTCCCCATCATTTACTCACCTCAAATCCGTGCTGTCGGCCAGGGAGATGGCGGGCTTCCTCACGGCACTGCTGCAGGCGGCGCTGTTACTGCGGGAGGAAAGAGACTCAGACCCTCAGATCAGGTTGCCCACCTCTCCCTCTGGGAAAACGCAGCTTGGATGATTTAACACCACCGTAAACAACCAATTAAACCACACAGGAGAGCTGATCGCTGCCACTGGGATCTGACACGACTAGACTCTACTGATGCCAAACACTGGAAGCCTCCAAATCAATCCGGCGACACAGGGAGCAAGCGCAGAGTCCCTCATGTCTGAGGAAATTAGTCCCAGTTGATCAGAGGCCCACAGAAAGGGTACGACTCTCTCCTAGGGGAAACTAAATCACATTCGGTACTTGCTGCAGCAGCGCTTCTTAAACATCTCACTAAACCTCCCCCCGCACCCCCACAACTTAGCCCCATTTCTCAGATGGGAAAACAGACACAGCAATGCAGTGATTTGCCCTAGGCCTCAAAGGGAGTCAGTGTCAGAGCCAGGATTGGCATTCAGGAATTCCTAGCTCCCAGGCCTGCCCTCGGAAACCCCTCCCTCAAGTGCAAAGGTCTCTGCTCTGGAGCCCGCTGCCGACGTGAAAGGGCTTCATCCTTAGTGGATTCTCCCCCCAGGCGCCCATCAACAATGCACTAGCAGTCTACGCTCAGGGCAGACCTAAGGATGCGCCACGTCTAACATGCTCACTGGCTAAATGGACTAACCCCCGGGAAGAACCATTCTCGCTAGAATGGGTGTCTGACCATTCGTTACCTCCCTGCTCCTCTTCCCCTTGCAGAATAAAAGTGTTCTGGAGAGCACACAGGTGAGATCTCCAGTACAAATCCAGCCCAGCTGCCACCAACTGACCACTGGTTGGAGGCGGGGTGGGGGAGGGCTTCAGCTCCTAGTAGCCAAAATCGACCACCACAGTTGGCAGCCTGAATAGACACACCAAGGATTGAGTATCAGAAGGGTGGCCATGTTAGTCTGAATCTGTAAAAAGCAACAGAGGGTCCTGTGGCACCTTTGAGACTAACAGAAGTATTGGGAGCATAAGCTTTCGTGGGTAAGAACCTCACTTCTTCAGATGCAAGGCATCTGCAAGGCATCTGAAGAAGTGAGGT